CTTTGGAACATCTTCAGGTAAGGAATGAATACACAAGATTGATTGATGAAGGTTAATCATCAATGAACTCGTGTTTCTGAATCAAGTTAATTCGAAATGAAATTAAGCACATTTGGTTTAAGACTTTATTGTGAACTTACAAATATATTATATAGCATTTTCCTGATTACTTCTTTGTCATATTTATTAAGAATTAAAATACTTATTTTGGTTCTGAAATAAAGTGTAAATTTATAAATAGGTATTGGACGTTTATAAATTTTTATGTGTCACTATCAATAGCATAATTGATTAGAGAGTGCACAGGCCGGGATGAACTTGGCCTGATGATGCACGAGCCTAAAATATTTAGACAAAACTGGCCCATGATTCATCAAGAATTTACGTGATCACTTACGAAGCCTGTATATCTTTCCTCAATCATGGCAGCTGTGTATATATTTATTAATGTCTATATAAGCTCTAAAGTACTAAGAGATGCTCTATAACAATTATAATCTTGGCTTGGAAAGTTTCCAAGCTCGTAGTGTTTAATAAATACTAAGCAGCCATAAGAGAGTTAAGATGTACAGGTGTCGTAAGTGGAGACGTAAGAGCTTGGTGAATCCTGGCCTGGATCCACTCTAAGGGATGCCGAAACACTAGTATACTTAGATTTCATTTAATTAATAATACACACCCATGGAAATACATAGTATTCATAGTACACATAAGCAAGGTAGTACAGGATAAGCACACAGGAAGACAAGCATTTGTACAGGCGAGGAGCTGTCATATGACTGTCAGGTACAGGTGGCTGACAGCTGACACTTTCTGACCATCGTACACACACAAGCTGTCATATGACTGTCAGGTACAGGTGACAGCTGACACTTTCTGATTATAGTACACTGGCATGGCAAACTTTTATGTTCGCGGTAATGTTCACTTGTCCGTCTATTGACGACACAAGTGTGAGGATCAGTAGTGTTCCGTGGTGTTGTGTGTGGCGCAGCGGTAGAGCGCGCGCCCACACCTTCCCACGCAATTTGCTTTTCATAATAGGGTAAGGTAGGCACAATACAAATGGACACATCTCACACGATCCATCAGGCTGTTACAAAAGACAGCCTAGTTAACGGATTTCAATAGGGGCAGTACAAGCATGAATTTCTTGAGTTCCTGGGAAGTATCGAAGGCAATATACCGACCGCGGCGAAATTGAAATAAGTTTATTGAAGTATAAATACACAGTAAGGGATAAGGTAGCTCAAGCTGACTCAAACAGAAAACGGAACAGTACGCCACTTTTGTGAGTCGATTTCATTTCAAATTACGTCCAAATTTGGCCATAGTGCGCATACGAGCCAAAAGTGACGTTATTTTTAAGAGGACGGGTTGGATACCCCGTTACCGCGGCGACCGTGTGACCACCAAACCAGAACAGTACAAAGCCTCCACACGAGGAAAGGTCGACGACAAAGCAACTGGAATATTGCAGATGAAGGAGTTCCTGTCTGCCTGCACCCCCAGAAGGTACGTGGGAAGACACCCAGTAAGGGTGCTGGAGCCTGCAGTGTGTAAGCACAGATGACGTGACGACACAGAGAGAGGCGGGAGTCGAAGATCAGCCTCAAGAGTTACTCATCATACTTACATAAAAGTTAACTTCCATAGAGGATTAAGGACGGATGGTGGACGATATGCTTAATAGTCGTAGTACAAGTTTTCACAGCAGAGAACTTTAAGCCGCATGTAGTAGCCGAGGACAAAACACTAAACACTGTTGACAACACACTGACCTTGAAAGGAGAATTCGGTACCACAACAGGACACAGCGAAGTCGTCCACAAAAGCACTACAAATGGGAGACTACGAGACCGTTCAGAAGAACCATACAAATAGTAGTGGTGTAAATGACCAGCTCGTCCTCCTAAGGTTTCCCAACGTCAAGAGACTGTCGTATTAGTCTCCTAATCGTAACCTACCAGAGGACCCAAAACAGAAAACGGGACAGTACGTCAATTTCCTGACAGCCGTTGGGGAATTAGGGACAGGCCGGAGAGGAAACCTTGGAGGGGAAAGAGTGACAGAAGTGTCTCGGAGACAAGAATTGTGCAACTGGGGTATTATATCAGCAGGTAGTATCTTGTAAGTTACATGGTCGGCGTTCAGTCCTCGATGGTCCAAGGTGTTGAGCACTGTACCTGACTGCCGTCCTCATATCCCATCTCCTTGTCCTCATATACTAACCCCTTGTCCTCATATCCCATCTCCTTGTCCTCATATCCCAGCTCCTTGTCCACATATCCCAGCTCCTTGTCCACATATCCCAGCGTCTGACCTTTCATCCCAGCTCCTTGTCCTCATATCCTAACCATTTGTCCTCATATCCCAGCCCCCTTGTCCTCATATCACTTCCAAGTGCTGTCATATAAGCTTAACGCGTTCTCTTGTAATTATCATACCTTACCGACCTTTCCCTGGACCTCGAAGGACGACTTCAAGCGACCTACCGCCAGAAAAATGGCCACAAATGCAACCTCAAAATCGACCGGTGGGTCTCAAACCTTTCTCCGTGGGGAGTGGGTGGGTCTTTCGATTAGAAAAACATGGCCGTTCCCCCAAAATGTTGGGAAACTACTATATGTACTAGGCTGTGAGTCGTTGTTTAAAGCAAGGAAGTATAAATTATTGAGGTGTGTTAGGTTGGGCAGCCTCATCCGTGTTTTGGAGTGCTCATTGATGTACTGTACAGTATATAGAAAGACGCAGATTAGTTTTCCTTAACAAATGGCGTCAAACTGCCAAAAATGGAAAGGTTGGTGACGATATCTTAGAAACAATATAAATATTTTGCGCCTACAGCGTAATTATACAGAATTATAAATACCTGCATGTATTTGTATGTATATGTATATGTATATGTATATGTGTGTGTGTGTGTACGTTCTGAATGATGTTACCTGTGTCACTGTAAAAATGAAAAAAAAAAATTAAGCTGGGAATGTGAAGTTGTGATCTGGATGATTTGTGACATCTGTGTAAATATGTGTGCTCGTCGTCTTGAACGTTTATGTAAATATGTGAAAAAGATATCTTGAACGTGGGGGGGGGGAATAGCTTCATGAGGTACCTCATCTCTGTGTGAGCGTGTGTGTGTGTGTGTGTGTGTGTGTGTCCTGTGTTTCTGTACCAATAAACTAATTTCAATTTCAAGGATCAGAAATATTTAGCGGTTGCCTGAGAGGCACCTGACAATCATACAAACACACTTGACATCCACCTGACAATCATTTCACGGATATTAATCTATGTAATTCTGTTTTCCTTATTCGATGTTTATTCTCTCTCTCTCTCTCGCTTCTCTCTTCCTAGTTGATTACCTTATGTGTATATTACGCTGTATTTCCACATATCATTCTCTCGATGAATCGTCAATTATTATTAAATTGAAAAACTAGGCTAGTTGAGTTTGAACATCGACTACATGGCAGAAATCACTTCCACAAACTGGAGTGCAAGAAAATTAACAACTGCAAGAATGATGGCAAGTTGAACTCCATGTGAATTAATGAATCTGCTCCCAGTATTATATATATATATATATATATATATATATATATATATATATATATATATATATATATATATATATATATATATATATATATATATATATATATATGAACTCCAATGCTCCTTTGACATGAAAACTAAATTCAGTATGGAGAGAGGAACATGGATATACAAGCAGAAGTAATAGAGTCAAATGACATTTGTCAATTTCAATTATTTAACGCTAGCTGCATCAGTGATGAGGGTGAACACAATTGGGGTTGATGGAGAACACAGGTGGGGGGGTGAGAACACCTCACATGGGGTTAGACCCTGGCAAATAGGGATGAAAACACCATAAGTGGGGGATGTGAACACGACATGTGGGAGGTGTGAACACCACAAGTGAAGCTGAGAACATGACAAATGGAGTGAGAACACGCAAGAACATATATAGGTGCTCCTTTTAATGTTTAGATAATTCTATATGTATATGATGTACCTAATAGCCAGGGACCAGATTCACGAAAGCACTTACGAACATGTACATTTTTTCTCAATCTTTGGCGACTTTGTTTCCAATTATTAAACAGTTAATGAGCTGCGAAGCACCAGGAGGCTGTTTATAACAATAACAACAGTTGATTGGCAAGTTTTCATGCTTGTAAACTGTTTAATTTCATTCAAATTTAAACCAAACAATCGAATCATACATAACGTATTGGAAAACTTTATCATTCCATATGAACAAAAATGTTGCATAAACGTTAAAACTTCTGTAATCAGGTCCGTGAGTGTGTTCCAGTCTGGAGAAGATCATCTTCAGGGTGTAGGATAGGACAGCATCGGCTAGGCTAGGCTAGGCTAGGCTAGGCTAGGGTTGGGTGTCCACCCAGACCAATCACTGTCCCTCCGAGGATGTCCTTGGGTGGGCAGGACAATTAGTTTTTTAGGGCGATGATAAGACATTTCATAACATTATATTGGAATAGGTTTTATTTAATTTGAATTGAAACTAACACAGAAATTGGTTCAAACCTAATATAACTAAATTTAGAATAACTAAATCGGTAATTTATGTTGTTAATATAATAATATTAATTAGAATAAACCAATTTGGAAAATGATATACTGAAAATAAAGAAAATTACTCTGCCTGTTAGGCAAATAGTCATGAATACTAGGCCAAGTAGTGCATTCTGGCTATTAGGTACGAGATATATATTCCTACATAAATCTACTTTCTATTAGTGGTCAAATATGACGAATGAGCCTTTTAATGATTCATATTTCATATATACTATGTCATTGACATTAGTCTTCTGCTTGCTCCTCTCTCTCTATTTCGTTCTACGTTTCACTTTAGTCTACTGCTAAATTCTCTTTATATATATATATATATATATATATATATATATATATATATATATATATATATATATATATATATATATATATATATATATATATATATATATATATATATATATATATATATATATATATTGTTTGTTCCATCCACTTATTTATATCCGTTTATAAATATAATTTCCATTATATTTAGCACACAGTAAATATGTCACTGCTCCAGTCTATTGTAAGAGTGTATCTCAAATGTGAAAATACTAGAGTCATGTAATGGGTTCGAACTTGCGTTCCTGAGCTCCTCTTAACACATGCACTTCTGACTGGATTATGGTGGGCTACAAGTAGTGTGTGTGTGTATGCCTTAGGACTCCAGAAACGCGGGTTCGATCCCATTGTACGGCTTCAATATTTTATCATGGATATATCACAATCTTGTGATTTTTATTATACAGTGTCTATTTTTTGTTCCTAGTTAATGTTCCTTGCACAACAATAACTTAAAATATCCTCCTGTAAGGGTCTCTGTCTTAAACTATCACGGCATCTTGCTGAACAAGTGTCTGTCAATAATGTTCTTTTCCGTTTTCTCTCGTATTAACGCCAACTTTCTCTAGCAAAAGCTTACGTTTTCTCTCTGAAAAAGCTTACGTTTTCTCTCGGAAAAAGCTTACGTTTTCTCCCGGAAAAAAGCTTACGTTTTCTCTCACAAAAGCTTACGTTTTCACTCGGAAAAACTTACGTTTTCTCTCACAAAAGCTTACGTTTTCTCTCACAAAAGCTTACGTTTTCTCTCACAAAAGCTTACATTTTCTCTCACAAAAGCTTACGTTTTCACTCGCAAAACCTTACGTTTTCTCTAACCAAAAAGTTTACGTTTTCTATAACAAATCCTTACATTCCCCTCACAAAAAACTTCCGTTTTCTCTCGCAAAAAAATCCTTTTCGCCATGACCATTATCTCCCAACAAAACCATCCCCCGAGTCCTATTCTCTTACATTCCACCTTTCTGCCGTGAGCCACAACATCCAGACAGAGTGCAGGTCTCTTCCCTCCCTGGCACCTGTGCCAGTGCCTGCGTGTCCGCCGGGGAGGTGGCACTATTGTCTCCTGGGGGCACACTCTCCGGTATGTCAGTCTCCTTCTACCCTTGTTGCCTTCTGCTCCTTCCTCGTTCGCTGCCTCTCCTTTCTTGTTCTCTTTCTGTTCTTTTTGCAGTCTGTAATGAGATACTTAGTGTTAAAGCTGTCTTGGGTAAGTAAGTGTCGTGAGTATATTTTTTTAGTTAAGTATTTCAGTGGATTCGAACAAGACTGTGTATAATTATTCCTTTGGTATTAGTTATTTTTCTATAATTAAAGCAAGTGGCATGGAAAGTAAGGGGTTATGTGAAGTGTTAAGGGTAAACACATAATAGGGGCAGACCACAAGTGGCAATGTTGATATGATTGAAGTATAACATCTTATAGAAGGGTATAACAAAAGGGTATACCGATAAGGTGTTATATCAACACAAAATAGAGCACGAAACATTGGATAGGTTCAGATTTAGGAAAGACCTGGGTAAATACTGGTTCCCAAAACAGGGTTGTTGATTTATAGAACAAATTACTGTACCAGGTAACATAATAAGACGTGGGATTGATGTCTTGTTTCAAGTGTAAATTAGACACACGCAGACACATATATATGTGATACCTAGCCTACATTTTGGACACATTGCACCTCTTACGACCCTGAGTCAGTATTCACCAAACATTTGCGACTCCACTTATGGCACCAGTATACCTTTCTTCAATCGTGGCGACTTAGTTTGTATTAAATAATTTACGAGCTCGGAAGCGCTACGAGATTGTCTACAACAATAATAACCCTGGGTCGAGGTACCACATCGTAGCGTTTCTTAGCTCGTAAACTGTTTAATACGGATTATGCCGCCGGAGAAAGCTGCACAGATGTCGTAAGTGTACACCTAAATCCTTGACGAATCTTGACGGTACAGACAACAAAATCTTCACTCAGCCGCCTAAAAATATTGTCTTACTTCTCCTCCTCCTCCTCCTCTTTCGCTTCTTCCTCCTGTCGCTGATGTTAGTTTTGCTCCGCCTCCTGTCTGTGTCTACTACTCCACCTCCTCCACCTTGTCCTTCAATACCGTTGTGGTTATCTTCGAGGTTGATCTGGCCTAAGGTGGAGGCTCCTGCGGCCTCGACCATGCCCTGGAGGACCCTCTGCGTCACTATTTGGTGCCGGAGGTCGTTCTCCTGCTGCTTCCTGATCTGTTCCTGACGGAGTCTCTGCTTGTACTTCTTTGATTTGTAGTGGTGCTTGTTGCAGTTGTCCACATCGGTGTGATCTGCGGAAGGAACGAGGGTTTAGTGGTGTCAGTGGATCATGTGCGCCCCTGAATACATCAACACAGATGGCGCTGTGGCCACCATACGCGACGCTTGCGGATTCACAGTTATTGTTTCAAGTGTAGGTGTATCGAGCTCTCCCCAGTTGGACAGCTTGTTATGAGTAGATCTGAACAGTAGTGGAGATTAAAGGGGGAGAAGAATTTTTGCATCAATTAATAAGAAGAAAGACCTGGGAGCAGACATAACCCCAATTGTAATGCCAAAAGCATACATTACGTGAGCAGGATATGTCACGAACTTGGACAAGAGAACCTTCTGGGTTCTATATACAACCTATGTCAGACCCGCTCTTGGAGATACAGCTCAGCCATGAACATCTGATAAGGCGCAAAAAACAAAAAAACTAGAAAGGTCTAAAAATTATGCAACAAGATTCGTTTTTGTGCTTAATGAAAGACTGAGGTAACTGGACCTGCCACACTGAAGAAGAATAATAGGGAGGCCACCACACACGAGTCATAGATGGCTTAGAGAGCTTCATTAGAGTTGTAAACACGTGGAATAAAGTAAACACATTGCACAAGTAAACACATTGCACTAGAAAACAGAGTAATTGCATTAAACTACAACATTTTCGACAAGCGAGGCTAATTAAGGAACTGACAGATGACCGCGCGGGCACATGTACCCGAGTACATCCAGACGAGTACACCTCGGCCCCATATATACACAAAAACCAACACAATATCTTCTCGTTTCTGAAAATCTTGAGAGAAGAGCGGGTTGCTCACAGATCCAGAGCACCAATAAGCTGGAAATAACACAGTTTCTCACTGCCAGGTTAGAGAGCAGCTATACAAGCCTAACGCAGCGGCTGGTTTGAATTGCAGCCGGCAAAATATGCTCGAGGAACGTTTCATCAATGCTGTATCAACGTTAAATCATTGCTAAATTAACGTTTCTTCATTGTTACAACGTCATTTGGCCCGATTAGCCCGGGGTGGGGGCGAGGGGCCACGCTGACAGACGAGGAAGGTCAGTATCATGCTAATGCTCTAACAATACGGTTTTCCTCTCTCTATTTTTAACCTCGGACGTTTACCTTTGTCAGTAACGAACGCGCAAAAACCTGCTTTTATTTTGAAGCAAAACAGGTTTAAAAATAGGTTCGTGCTATCTCTTTATTGCATATAAACGAATGTTGGAATGCGAGACGACTGCAGGAGTGGTGGCCCGACTGAGGGGCAGCTAACAACCTGGTACCGCAACTGAAGCAACACAAGTCTCGTTCCGTGAATGGCAGGTAGTCGCCCAAGGCCTGTTCGACGGGCAGGCTGTGTGTGACCTTCCTGGCCTCTGCAGGCCGCCTCGGCAACCATGTCTGTAAATATACATACATACATGTATGCACAAACATATGTCGGGACGTACACACAATTCTATATGTGTTGATACGTTCGTATGTGGACATGTGTAAATGTGCAGATAAACGCAAGAACGTAGGACTAATACTAATATGTAGTGCAGCACTATGCTGCCTGTATACAGCACTATACTTCCTGTATACAGCACTATACTGCCTGTATACAGCACTATACTGCCTGTATACAGCACTATACTGCCTGTATACAGCACTATACTGACTGTATACAGCACTATACTGCATGCATACCACCACCATCACTAGACAGTTTAATTGCTTTATTAAGGACCACATCCAACCTGTGGGTTGTGGTAGTAATTGTTACAATCATATACTAGGCTCAGGTACTGGACCTCTGTGATCTCAGAGCATTTTACATTTGCGGAGAACCTGTCACTTGCTTATTATGTAGCCAAGTCATCCAGGATGGTGGAGGGGGAAGAAGTCAAAACGTGAAAGAAAGAAGTCAAAAACTCTGTGATAACATGAAACATTGGTTAACTGAGAATTATGTAAACTATATGTAATGTAGTACAGGGTATTTCCTTTGTAAATTAATGTATATATGAAATTTATACTATATATTATTTAATAAAGAGATAAAAAAAAGCTAAAAGGCAGTAGGAATGCTAGCCTACTGTTGCCACAACAGTAGGATAGCATTCCGCTGTCAATGACATGACACTGAGACAAGCCATGTTGTCATCACCTTCACTAACAGTCGTTAAAATTCCCCCTTAAACTACCTAGACAGAGCTAACCACGTGTTTCGCTGTCTCACATACGTGGCTTCCTGTCTCTTACATTCACACGGCACAGATTTACTTAAGAGGCAAGCCTAAGCCAAGCAGTAGTGCCATCTGTTGAGTCCGCGGTCTGTAATGGATGATCCATAAGACATATTTTCACCTAGCAAACTCATCAGTTCTATCATGTATTCGGAGGCCAACATGAAATGGAATCCACATGAAATGAGCGCTGTCCAAAATTAGACTAGCGTGTTCAAGTGAATCTAATTCCTCGGAAATTCATTTAATGTTTTATTATTAAATGATAGGCTATTGAAAATAGGCTACCCAGGTCCTGGCAGGCTATACAAGTCCTGGCAGGCTATACAAGTCCTGGCAGGCTATACAAGTCCTGGCAGGCTATACAGGTCCTGGCAGGCTACACAGGCCTTGGCAGGCTACACAGGTCCTGGCAGGCTACACAGGTCCTGGCAGGCTACACAGGTCCTGGCAGGCTACACAGGTCCTGGCAGGCTACCCAGGTCCTGGCAGGCTACACAGGTCCTGGCAGGTTACACGGGTCCTGGCAGGCTACACAGGTCCTGGCAGGCTACACAGGTCCTGGCAGGCTACCCAGGTCCTGGCAGGCTACACAGGTCCTTGGCAGGCTACACAGGCCCTGACAGGCTACACAGGCCCTGGCAGGCTACACAGGCCCTGGCAGGCTACCCAGGTCCTGGCAGGCTACACAGGTCCTTGGCAGGCTACACAGGCCCTGGCAGGCTACACAGGCCCTGGCAGGCTACACAGGCCTTGGCAGGCTACACAGGTCCTGGCAGGCTACACAGGTCCTGGCAGGCTACACAGGTCCTGGCAGGCTACACAGGTCCTGGCAGGCTACACAGGTCCTGGCAGGCTACCCAGGTCCTGGCAGGCTACACAGGTCCTTGGCAGGCTACACAGGCCCTGGCAGGCTACACAGGCCCTGGCAGGCTACACAGGCCCTGGCAGGCTACACAGGCCCTGGCAGGCTACACAGGCCCTGGCAGGCTACACAGGCCCTGGCAGGCTACACAGTAATAAAGTGAGCGCGCCGAACATACAGGAAAATGATGGTCACGGCATTTGGCCATATAATAAGATTAGAACAATGGCAGCGATCGTGCAACTATTCTCAATAACACTTCTCAGGTCAGTTGCCCGCTGCGTCTGTTGCTGCTGCTGCTGCTGCTGCTTGTTCGTTCCTGCTGCTCTTGTTGTTAATACTCCTGCTCCTCCTCCTGCAAGGTTATGGAGCCTCGAGGCATGAATATCTTGTCACAACCCCCTAAGGCGCCCCGCGGAGAACAGCGCGTCGGGGCCGCGCCTACGGCCTTAGGCTATCAACTAAATCTGTCCCATTTTTTGCATGGAATCGACCAATATGTTTCAGATGCGACGGACTGGTTAAAAAAAAGCTAAAACACCGTAATATTTACGTCTTCTACGCAATGATCTCGGTAGGTTAGATGGGTTACTTGGGGTTTATATGCGTTTCTAGTTAAGGAAAAGAGTTGCATTTTTTTTTTTACGGAGCGGCATATCATGAGAACAGCTGCATGCAGTCGTTCGTTCATATCCACAAATTCATATTATTATTGCTCACAGATCCGACGACAGATTGCTCATCTTCTCCAGTTTCAACAATCTATATGCAAATTACATCAACTAATTATCCCGTCCTTTTTTTTTAGTTTTTAAATCTCCTTTGTTATGGAACGTGTTTGTGTGAGATGTGTGACGTTCCCGCGCAGACTGCTGGTGGTGGGCTGTGGTGGTGGGCTGTGGTGGTGGGGTGGGGTGGAGGGCTGGGGTAGTGGGCTGTGGTGGTGGGGTGGGGTAGGTTGTGGTGATGGGCTGTGGTGGTGGGCTGGGGTGGTGGGGTGGGGTGGAGGGCTGGGGTAGTGGGCTGTGGTGGAGGGCTGTAGTGGTAGGGTGGGGTGGTGGTGGGCTGTGGTGGTGGGTTGTGGTGGTGGGCTGTGGTAGAGGGCTGTGGTGGGGTGCTCTTGGGGAGGAGGAGGCGGGGAGCCCAGCTGCACCTGTCCCATCCGCCCACACAGTCGCTGCTGGCGTAGTGGTAACACACTCGTCAGCCCGCCTCCCGAGGGATTACGTCTGGGTTCGAGTCCTGGCCAAGGAGGATTGCCTGGGCACCAGTCCTTAACTATGCACCCAGCAGTAATTGGGTGACTGGTGGGTCATATTCCAGGGAAACTGCAGTCCCCGTGGCGCAGTGGTAAGACAATCGCCCCGCGCATCGCGAGCGATTTGGCCTGGGTTCGTATCCTGACCGAGGAGGATTGACTAGGCGCCAATCCTTAACTGTAACCTAACCTCTGTTCACCCAGCAGTAAATGGGTACTTAGTTGTTAAACGATTTGGCGGGTCGTATTTCGGGGAAAATTAAGATTAAAGACCTGCCCGAAACGCTTTGCGTGCTAATGGCTTTCAAGAATGTAAGAACTCTTCTGTATATATATATATATATATATATATATATATATATATATATATATATATATATATATATATATATATATATATATAAGAAGCTAGTTTGTAAGGCTTGCTATGGGAAGGGAACGGTCTCAGACTGCTAACAGGAATCAGAAGTCATCTGCTCCTGTACCCACCTGTGTAAAAACTAAGTCAAGGGGGAAAATAGCACTGAAGTACAGTTCAGACGAAAATAGCCTTAGTTGGCTGGCAAGTTAGGCTTGGATGACAAAAAGAGAGTATGATTGGTTTTACACATTTATCTAGATGGAGATATATGTAGTCTTAGGCTGTAGTGTTCCACACATGC